AGTTACGGTTGGCAGCTCAGTCACTCTTGGCAGTTTCAGTTCGCAGTCCAGTTGCAGCCCGACTTTCATACATCAAAATCGCAGCCCACATTTCATATGTCAAAATCAGGCCCGGCTTTCATATGTCGAAATCAGGCCGCAAGGCCCGCAACAGGACTGCTAACTGAAACTGCCAAGAGTTACTGAGCTGCCAACCCAAACTTGCAAACTGTGGCTGAACTGCCAACCCTAACTTCAAATGCAACCCGGACTTGGGCAGTGCCTACACCATGATTTCGAATGCAGGTGAAGGTAGGGTTTCAAACGCATTTTCAACCCTATTTTCCGAGTTTCAAACGCATTTTGAAACCAAAACTGCGATTCCACCATGGTTTTCTGAATTTTTCTCTCCAGTAGATGATGATTTCCTAGCTTAATCACTACCTACCGTTTTCGCCGGAATATAACGAGCGGTCATTATCACTGTATGTAGACTGAAAGGCGCCCCAAATACCACTATAACGACCGGGCATTCTATTCGGGTGAAAACGGTAAGAGGGCTTCTTTTCCCCCCCAAAGTAGCAGCAGCTGGCTACAAGCCTACAACAGGTCTTCCAGATTTTACCCTGCTGCTTGACTGCCAGAAACCAGTACCGTACCTGGTTTCTTTGGGCCAGGCATGTCAGGTTCCGGAGGTGGTGATGGATTAACCAAACCACGTTTTCAAACACGGTGGGGCTCCAGGGACTCCCTGCTCAACTTGATCCTCCTATCGGCAGTCGACAGAACACAGCCAGCCCACAGACATACTCCAGCTGGAAGTGCATAATTCGTTTTTTTTTTTTTTTGCCTCTTTCAGACTCTTTCTTTCTTTTTTCTTTTTTTCCCCTTATACTCTTCTTAAAGAAACAGTGGGTCTCACGTAACGTTCCCACTTGAGACCCGAATCGCCAGCGTTGGGAAAAAAAAGGGCGAGCAGGGCTGGGCCCAACAGAAACTCACCCCGACTGAAATGGGCACGGCCTTGAGATATCGTCATCGAAACTGTTGTTTGAAATGGGCATGGCCTTGAGATATCATCATCGAAACTGGCCAGCCATAGGTAATTCAGAATTGCAGTATTTTACTCGTCTGCTTTCAGGCAGTTCGAACTCGGGTCTGTGTTTCAAGTTTTGACAGTTCAGGGGTGTACCAACTAAGCAACGCCAGTTGGTGGAAGTGCTTAATTCCATTCACCACCATCAACCCAAAGGCAGACACAATAACCCAGCACAAATTTAATACTTTACCTTTCCTTTTGTTTATATAGTATGTTTTACCATATTTCATTATTTTTCTCAGCATTATTTTCTCAATTATGGGGTCCTGAAACTACCTGCTCTCACACTCCAGTCCCAGGCGGCAGCAGGCGGCGGGCGATCGCGGTGGAGCAGGGCTACGACAGTGCTGACTCATGATGCCAGACCTCTCCGGCAACCTGGCTGAAACGATGTAGCAGCAGGGGTGCGCAGGCACTCGGTGGGACAAGGTTTCAAGGAGCTTTGACGAGCTCCTGACTATGGTTGACCCCGGCCGGCTTCGGCCGGTATTCCTTTCTGATCTTGTAGGGAGGTGGAACGTGAGGGGTCTGACTGCTGCACCGTACCAGATATGAAAACTGATCGGGCGGGCGAGCCCCCCTTCCCGGTCTTCAGATATGGAGCCGGGTTAGTTTTATGTTGAGAAAAACAGGCTGCCATGTTAAAGATTGGTGTTTGCAGCTACCTGAAATTGCAGTTTCCCGCTTCTCTCAAGACTGATACCCACAATGGGAGGTGCTCCACTCTTCAGGAGGTGCTTATCCTCTAATCTTGATCTTGCTTCGGAGGTGTTCAGCCAAGGTGGCGGTGTGCTACCGGCCTCGGCTTTTGTTGACCGACCAGCGAGTGACCCTGTCGGGGTGCGTTGACGGGAGCCTCCTCTTGCTGGTGGTTTTCAGCGGGGGCTGTTTCTTTGCTGGGCCTTGCCATTGCCGAATGAGAGTGCAGGCGGGATGATTGACGGTATTGATCTGTCGTCAAGCCCAACCACAGGGCAGAGCGTGTAGCAGTTTTCTGGCACTGTCAAATGGAGCAGCAGGGAAGATGATCCTCAAGTGGAGATGAACGCCAAGGATTTGTTGTTGATTATCCTTGTGCTATGAGATCATGATTCGTTGTTAAGTGCTGCTAGCTTGCTTCGCCAACGGTTCTATACAGGCTTTCCCCGGTGAGTGATCGTGGGCAACGGCCGATTACAGTTGGTGGGACGGGAGCTCTTGGCTGCTTCCGTTGTGGCCTGCGGGGGGGTCGTTGCTCATGTTTTGGCCTTGTGTAGGAATTTAGGATGGAGTAGATCATTTTCCGCTTGCTGCTCGTCGTGTTAGATGAGCACTCTCTTTGTTGTGTTTGTGATTGGGCGTTAGTTGCCTTCGATGCTTTTAGGATTGTGGCCAGTAGTTCACAGCTTTGTACGAGAGTTTTAATTGCCTTTGTTGGTCTTTTGCTGGGCGGCCTAGAGTCTATGAACTTACGAGAGAGAGAGAGAGTGTTACGGCCAGAATCTATGAATCTCACTGCGGCGACGAGTAGATATGGTTGACAGAGAGAGAATGAGAGATTAAGGGGAGAGAGAGAGAGAGAGAGAGAGAGAGAGAGAGAGAGAGAGAGAGAGAGAGTGTTACGGCTAGAATCTATGAATCTCACCGTGGCGACGAGTAGATATGGTTGACACAGATAGAGAGAGAGAGAGTGTGTGTGTTACGGCCAGAATCTATGAATCTCACCGTGGCGACGAGTAGATATGGTTGACAGAGAGAGAGAGAGAGAGAGAGAGAGAGAGAGAGAGAGAGAGAGAGAGAGAGAGAAAGAGAAAGAGAGAGAGAGTTTTCGTGGTGAGTGCTCTATTGAATCTGTGGTCGAATTTGTTTGATTTTTCTGCCGGGTACATGACCCGGCTCTATGAGTCCAGTTATTTGCTTTTTCGTTGTTCTGCATTTGCTGGGCTCATGGCCAGAATTTGGGAATCTGACCACGTCGATGACCGTATTCGGGGGGG